TAGGCCTTCCCCTTTCTTTTGTCTCTTTCCTCCCTCTTGCTGTGGAAGATGAACTCTCATGGGCAGTTTGGTCACTGTGGCCCTGAGCTGCAGCCTCGCCTTTTTATTTTTGAATTTTTGAATAATAAAAAAAAAAAAGACAGGGTTTTCTTTTTTGTTTGTGTTTTTTTTTGTTTCTTTGTTTTTTTGTTTCTCTAGCAAGAGACTTCGGATGGCTCAGTGTGTCCTGGAACCTCCTTTGCATCATTAGAGGCAAAAACTATGTAGCGGTTTCTTAAATAAAAGTATAAGCTGTGTCTTGTACCTCTTTTTGCCCCGAGCCACCCTGCCCAGGAAAGCCAGAGCTAACGGATGGAAACTTCACCTTTCCCTCCCCACTTTTTTTAAAACAAAGACCGTGGAGGCAACTCCTGGTCCTTCTTGTCCTGCACCAGTGCGGTGAATGTTTTAGGAGTTTCATTTCTTTTTAGCCCTTCCTCCACCTAATAAAGATCTGAGCGTATCACTGGTGTTTGTCTGCATTTTCAAAGGCTCCAGGAGCAGTTTTGCCTTTACAGCCTGTCCCTTTCCACGTGCTCCTGCGACGAAAGCTCAGCTGGGAGGGTCAGAGCAGCAGACGGATCTGCAGGGGGATGCCAAGTACTGTGACAAAGGTGAGTGCGCCTTGGTGCTGAGCCATCTTCACACACTTAGCTTCTTGCTGATGGAAATCCATTTGCTACCCTACAGGTCTAGGTCAGTCCTTAAGCGTGTGTCAGGGTCCAGAAGTGGCAAAAGGCAACACATGAGAGTTGGTGCAAATGCACAGGGGCCACTCAAGCCTTAGGTTTGTTGCAGAGCAGCTGTGAGGGGCACTCCCTTGTGAGGACTTCAGCCAGAGCTTCTCTCTTGTCCCCAGCTGCCCGACTTCCATCCTCCGTTACGGCCGTGGGCAGGGAAGGGCAGTGCTTCCATGCCTGGAGGTGGGGAGCTGCGTTGCTCTCTGGCACCCTCCTCTTCCCCAGCACCTTCCTCAGTGCCGTGGGGTCAGGCAGCACAGTGCAGTCAGCCACAGGCACGCTCATCTCCAGGCAAGACGAAAGGGGGGTGTTTTCCCATTTCCTTATGCTGTCTGTTCCAGCAGGGCTCTTCTGCAGTTCTGCAGCAATTTCCTCTCTAATGCCTTGCTCCCCAGTCTGATGGTAGAGCCAAGCTTGCTCAGCTGCACTCACCTGACAAGGAAAGGGGAAAAAAAAGACACCCTACACAAGTGGCAGCTGGGTTTACCCAGCACAGGCTGTGCTGGAGAGTTTGTCCTGCCTTTGTCACCACACCTGCTGCTGGACAAAGAAGCTGCTGGCAGCTCTGGGCAGCCCACTGCTGTAGGAGGCAGGCAGGAGACACAAGCAATCCTGACCCAAGTCAGAAGACCCAGCCAACACTGTCCTTCTCAGTCCCGTTCCTCAGTATGGAGGCTCCTCTGGGAATGCAGCTCTGGCGTGCTGTCACCATTCCTCCAGCATGGCTGTGAAGCAGAAGCACTCAGGCCACAGCCACACTGGACTCAGCAGTTGCTGCGCTGCAAACCACGCCAAGTGCAACTGCTGTACACTTGCCCTGCTAATTTTAGCTTGACTGTAGCAGCAAGGCACTGCAAAAACAAACTTCCCCAAGCTTGCCCCTCTTGAGACCTCTGGGAGAGGTGGTAGATGCCCCATCCTTGTAAGTGTTCAAGGCCAGGCTGGATGAGGCTTTGGGCAACCTGGTGTAGTGGAGGGGGTCCCCGCCCATGGCAAGGGGGGGCAGGTTGGAACTAGATGATCTTTGAGGTTCCTTCCAACCCAAACCATTCTAAGATTCTGTGATGACCTCAGTTCCTCTGCCAGTCTTCTGCATGATGATGTCAAAGCCCACTGCACCCCAGCAAGCAAGCGCCCCGCTGCCTTGTCTGACCATTTCAGGAGTGCTGTGCTCCTGCCCTGCCGGGAACCAGCCCCACAGCAGCAGCAGCAGCTCTGCCCCAAGTCCTCTGTCCCTGCTGCAGTCACACAAGATCACAAACCATTTTCCCACTGGTCACTCCCCTTCCTGGCTGAGGAAGACTAAATGTAACAGCAAAGCTCTGGGCCGATTGCTGAAGGACTTCTCTAAATCGGGTCGTTCTTCACTCGTAGGTTCAGGGAGGCAGCTGTCAAACAGCAGCTTTACTTCCCCCTCACCCTATAGATATTTATGTCCATGTATAGGCATGGATACTTGAGCAGCACTGAATCTGTGAGTAGCTGCGACTCAGGGCTTTAAATAACCCCTGCAAATAAGCCAGCTCAATTAACAGGGAAGTAACAGTACAGGGACATTTTCATTTCACATTTTTATTAGTAGACGGATGTGCAGAAAAGACAAAATATAACTACTGAAGGGGAAGACAACACAAAGATGCATCAGTTAATTCTTTCTGGTAAATTATACTGAAGAAAAAAAAAAGGAAAACATCTGGGATCTCAGCTAAGAAAACTACTAAGAAATCTAGTGTACCCTGCTGGTTTCAGAATGGTTGAAAACTGCATTTGAAGGGGCTTGTAGTTGCAACTGTAAACGCTAATATTGGCTGAGACAGGAGAAAAGGGTTAAGAAAAAAAAACAATACACAGAGCAGGTAAACATTTTTCTGCAATCTCTTAAATAGTTTCTCAAAAAAAAAACAAAAACAAAAAAACAACCCCTCATACTCCGGTTTGTATCTCAAAAAAAGGAAACCAGCAAGTCAACAAGCAATGACACTGCACGGGACAGCGAGGAAGAGAAATTAGTCTGGTTAACGCAGGAGCTCTCAAAATAGGTCACTTTTTGTCTTTTTTTTAAAAAAGGGTAACAGAAGAGTCATGGTAACGCATCTTACAACACCAAGCTTGAAAATACAAGTCACTGGAGAGTATACAGTGAAGACGGTCAAAAGTACAAGGGAAATCCTGAAAGATGCAGTATCCTCATTTCAAACCAAGCCGTCAGCACAGCCAGCACTGCCACACTCTGTTCCCTCACCCCCCAACAGATGGAGGTTGGTGTCCCTAGACCAAGGGACAGGTCTGCAGCCCCAAGACCAGGCCTGCAGCCGGGAGGCCCAGGGACCCACTTGCAAACACTGGTGGTGCCCTCGCAGGGTGGGAGCGAAGCTGGGGGATGCCCCAAACCATCACTAGATGCAGAGGAGCCCCGTTGCTGGCTCCAGAGAGCATCAGGGGCTGAGTCAGTCCTTGCTGGAAAGGACGAGCTGAAGCAGCCACATGGGGCACCTCAGGAGGGTCCAGCCGCCTTCCCCAGTAACATGCAAGCAGAAGGGAAGACTGTCACAGGGAACACTGGGGGACAAGGTATCACCTCTTGGTACTCCACAAGGGGCAAGAGGGACGCACCACCAGCACACCATGGGGCAGAGGAGCAGGGACTGTCCCTGCTGCAGCAAATCCCAACCAAGCAATGTTTTAGAAACACACCTGCCTTGCTCACTTCCAACAGAGACCCACCAGCCTTCCTCCCCTCCCCAAAGGCTGCCTTCCCCTCCTCTCCCTCCAGGCAGCCCCCTTTGAGCTCACTCACTCTCACCCTGCTCCTCGCCCTGGGACACAGCCACCAAGCTGATCACAGAACGAAGTCTACTCCCACCAAAGCACCCCTCGAGGGACCGGGGCTGGTGACGTACCATGGGAAACCCTGAGATACACAAAGGGGAGGCATGAAAAACGCCTGAGCCTGCAGCTCTTATCAGGGTGATCACCTCTGTACCTGTGGGAATGGAAGGTCTCACCCAAGCAGGGCCAGCACCCCAGATCTGCTCCTGGAGGTGCCAGGGCTCAGCACAGGAGGGCACAGCTGGCTGCTGATCAAGGGGGTCACACGAAAGGCAAATTCAGGCCACTGCACCACAGCCAAACAAGAAGAGCACGCTGCAACAGGGTGGGTGCTGAGGGACCAAGGAAGAGGGTTCTGCAGAGACAAGCATGCAGGAACCCCCCTGCCTGCGAGGGAGGGTCCTAAGCTCTGCCAAGAGCTCCCAAAAAAACATGCAGGAGGCCAAGCTCTATGCACTGGCTGAATCATGCTGCTAAAGAGCCTGTCAAACCCTTCTCTTCCAGCCTGAAAGCACTGTGCACTCCTCACCTGTGGGGCTGCACACACTCACCCCTGCCCCAGCCAGCCAGGCAGGGGAGAGCCCAGCACACACATACCCCCTCTGCCCTGTGCCCCAGCCACAGCAGCCACTGTGGGCACAGGGACAGCCTGGCCACCCCAGGTGGGCACCGAGGCGAGCTTTGACTTCTGCTGACCCTGCAGAGCTGCAATTACCAACACATGACCTACACAAGCAACAGAAAGAAGGCTCAGGCCAGCACTGGACTTGGGTACAGGAAGCAAGAGCTGTTAGTGAGCACTGAGGCAGAAGGCTATCAGTCTCTCCCACTGCCAAAAAGAAGTTCAGGATACATGCTGGCCCACCAGGCAGCGGATGCACATCTGTGCTCCTCCCTCTGGAGAGGGGCAGTTGGCAGCAGATCTCAGCAGCACGGCTAAACTAAACTTTTTCAATCCCAACCTAGTCTGAAAAAAAAAAAAAAAACCCAAACAAAAAATAAATAGCAACCCAGGGCTCAGCTGTACAGACGTGAAGTGTTAAGTGTTTATTTTAGGGTTCGTATCACAAGCCTTTTTCAGAGACAAAGCTGATTGTGCCCTCTGGGGCTCCAGGGGCCAGCTCCTTTCTAACTTGAGCAGGCTGAAAAGGAATACTGTACCTTTCAGTAACATCCCATCAAGCTCAACACACAGTAGCTTTACACTCTCCGCCCCACACCTTATAAAGGAAAAGCCACCACCACAAGGCTAAACGAATGTACACACGCTATTATTGTAAATGGAGCAGCTAAACCTTGGCAATTTGCTTTGTGTGGATTTTTTCTTCCCAGTAAATGCAGCACTTGAGCTCCCAAAACCCCAGCTTCCAATGGGTTTGTTCCAGCTTTAAATACATTAAACATCTCAATGCAAGACTGTATTTAATTCAAGAATCTAAACGCGAGCAAACCTGTTTCGCTGTGAGCGTTTTGTAGAGAAGTGAAAAGGGGAGTTTCTTTTTTAAAAAGAAATCATAATACAGTGATGAAAGGGTTAAGAATGCAAGAATTCAGACATTCTGTGGAGGGTCTCTAAGAGGTCCATAAAAAAGGAGCAAACAGATCCGTACAACAGGAGACAGCAGGAGACAAAAAGTCTTTTTTAATCCCCCCCCTACTCTTTTTTGCTGGACTGCTGCTAGGTTACCGCTGCTCCCTTCTGGCCTGAGTCGGCAGGGCAGTACAGGGGCATAGAGGGAGCAGGTCACGACTCCTCATTGCCAGAATCATCATCATCATAACAGTCGGCATCCTCCTCCTCCTCGTCCTCGTCATCAATGTCATCGTCGTACAAGTCGTCGTAAAGCAAATCTGAACTGTTGTCATTGGAAGGCACTTTAGTTTTGATGCAGTACTCTGCCAGCGTAGTGGGGACCTTCACGCCATCCTTCTCTGCCTCGGCTTTGGTAGCCAAAACCTGTTTCCTGCGGGAAGAAGGACACCACGACGTGAGCAGGGCTGCGTCAGCTGAGGCTGCACCTCCCGGCCAGCCTCAGCCCCAGCCCAGCCCTCCTGCCAGCTCAGCATCAGGAGAGCTGATGTTTGCCTGAAGCACCACAAGCGGCTCTAGAAACAGCTTCAGTTCCTGCAGCCCTGGGCTTGGGAGCACTCCAAGGGTGCTCGCAGCACGCACACTCCTCTCAGCAAGGTACAAAACCAGTGATTCTACGGGATTCCACACCAGAGACCTGCTGGAGCTCAGGGCAAATTTCATCACACAGGGTCAAGAAGGGACAGACGGTCAGGGATTCCCTGAGAGGACTTACTGACTCCGCCACTGGTGACTCCACCCCAGCGTGCTCAGAACTACAATTCCCACCAGCGTTTGGCCATCCTGAGCTCCCACCGGAGGTGATGAGCAGTCGGCACGCATGGCTATAAGCCCAGCGCTGCCTGGGGCTGGCAGGACACCAGCACTTCCAGCCGCCCCGGGACAGGACAGCTCCGGCTGCTGCCAGCCAGCTGTGTGCTGCTGCTGGCCTGTGCCTCGTCCCATCAGGGAGAGGGGCGGACAGCAGCCTGTCCCTTCACCCCCGCCTGCCCATCGTTCTGCCATACTCCGCTTATCCAAGCTTGGCTCCGCTGAAGCCAAGGGAGCTGGAGGGGACACGGACAACCTCGCAGCAAGGCTCTCTGCACAGACTGAGCGCCCCGCGTAGCTCCAACCAGGGTGCACCCTGCACACCCGGCTAGCAGAGTCGGTGCAGATGTGATGTTCCACCAGCCAGGCATGACAGCGGTCCCACTGCAGCGCCACCCGCCCACCCGCCGCTCCACAGCAACCTGGGCTCCAGTCCACATCATCTCCCTACAGCGCCTGAGGAACTCTGAACTTCTCGGCAAAGGACAGCCAAGACTGAACAATGCTCCCAGCTAATCAAATCCAGCTTGGCAAATGCTTGCCAAATCCCACTGATATTCCTTCAAACCAGAGGGACAAGATTATGATTCATGAGCGCATTAAGCGTGGAATTCGGAGGATGCAGTCAGTTTGAATCACATCCCAAGCAACATGGGCAGCGCTTAAAGGCAAGCAGGGAGTTAGACTGGGATTCACCAGCAGCCAATAGGTTTTGCAGAGCATCATGCCAGATTAGTCTGAGAAAAGAAAAATTTAGAGACAGATCAGCCCAGTCCTCCTGCTCCAGAAGTCTGCACTGCTTCTGTGTGCCGAAAAATCTACCGGGACCAGAAGCGTGGACTTGGAATAAACCGCTAAAATTCACTTCCAAAGAAGCTACCACAGTGAGAAGCTGGTTTCAGCAAATTCTGCAAGCAGCCAGTTTTATAGGATTCAAAGCAGGAGGCTGATACAGCAGCCTGGAGGAGCACAGCATCACACGTGGCAAA